GTCTGCTAGGAATGCACCGCATTCGCGGCATAGACGAGCCAAACATATGAAAGAGTAGCCTAGACCAGCAAGTCACGGTTGGGGTAGCCGAGAGCTCCGCTACCCCTAACAAAGGCAAATTTAGTAAGAAGTAGAGAGACTTTTGACCAAGTGATTTCATAACTTTCAACGCAACGAGGTCGCCGATGAGGCACTACGACGGAATATGACCAACATAAACAGGTCACCCTTCACAGACGAGATTGAGCAGGCAGAGCTTCGACACGAGTTCAGTATGCTACATTTCATATATTTCAAAGGGGATAAAAACCCGGAGAGACATTTAAAGCACTACCAAAGCGTAATGATCCTCTATCAAAACAACGACGATCTCATGTGCAAGATATTCACCATCACTCTACAAGGCGATGTGCAAGATGGGTTCTTCACCATGCCGCCACAATCTATTCGGAGTTTCGATGAACTTTCTTTAGTTTTCACTAAAGAATGTTCATTATATCGCTCAATTAAAAAGAAGTCCGACCATTTGTTCAACGTCAAAAAGAACCCAAAAAAGTCGTTTCGTGATTATGTGAAGAGGTTCAAAGCAGAGAAGGCAAGGATAGTCGGATACAACGACTCGATAACTAGAGTAGCCTTCCAAAAAGGACTTCCAGCAGACCACCCGCTATTCGAAAAATTGATCGTAAAAGAAGATGTAACTCTAGTAAACTCTTTTGCTCTAGTAGAGAAGCATGCACTTTGGGATAAGACTCGCCAATACACATTCAAGGACTTGAAGAAGTACTCAACATCACCTCCCTACTATCCAAACCGGAAGTAAAGGAGAACTTATTCACATGTTTGACGATATCTGAAGCAGCAATAAGCTCTACCATTATACGAGAAGAGCTAGGGGCCCGACTACCTGTATTCCACAGTTTAAAAGCTCTCATTAATGCTATCAGAAATTCAAAAGCTAACTTTTACGATAGTTGTTGCAACCTGAAAGCTCAAGTTTTACCTTCAAACGCACGCAGTCATCCTTATGACGCATTAGTCTGCCTAATCTAGACGTGCGACGATAAAGGCGTAGACCTTGGTGGATGCAAAGTTTTTTGACGAACACAACAACTCGGCCCAAAAAACACACCAAGGGCAGATGAACACTGGAATGACACACTTAGAAGCAAGTTTTATCCTTGTCGCCCCAAAAGATTCTACATAGGAGCAATATGTACCGGCAGTTGAGCACTACCTCCTGTTGCACGTCACACGGCCCTAGTCGACCCTTGCTCCATAATTTAGCTCTAAAATAGTCCAATACCGGCAGTTGAGCATCTACTGCTACGTGTAACAAGACCCCAGCTCCACAATTCCCTACCATTCATTCATAACGCAATAGAGCGGCCCAATGAGGCTCGGAAGATAGCCGAGCATGCCCTAGCCGCGCCTACTCTATCTGATGGAAACTTCTGGCATTTGCATGTTGACGGCTCATCCAACTACAAAGGTTCGAGAGCATGCGTAGTCCTTGTCACCCCAGATAATTCGATACCCGAATATGCGATCACTCTAGGCTTCAAAGTACCCAACCACGAAACAAAGTACGAGACCCTACTAGCAGGCTTCCGAATAGCAAAAGACTTGACGGCAAACAACACTCATATGGATGCACTAGCTGGCCTAGGCTCTGCCTTTAACCACCAACTCAAACACTTTACCCGGAGGAATATCTAGACAAACGAAGCATAGAGGCGAAGCCAGCAGCCGAGGTGTCACAGGTTAATACAACTCCAAACTGGCAAGATTCCATTGTAGACTACCTAGTCAATGACACATTCCTCATAGAAAGATTGGAGTCTAGGAAGCTCCAAATCAAGGCAGCACGCTACTACATGTGGAACGGCATTCTCATCTGATGATCTTACACCGGACCACATCTCCGCTGTCTAGTGCCTCCCGATGACTTGAAAGTTCTAAGCTCAATCCACGAAGGCGTTTGTGGAAATCACTCTGAAGGTCGATCCTTAGCACAGAGGGCTCTTAACGCAGGCTACTATTGTCCTACCATGCACCAAGATGCTAAGGAGTTAATACAAAAGTGCGATTGCTGCTAACGCTACAAACCGATACTAGCACTGCCTGTCAGCGAGCTACACCCGCATACTAGTCATTGGCCGTTCGTGCAGTGGGAGACCTAGTATGACTTATGTCGCCTGCTACTAGGGGCAGAGGCATAATGATCGTGGCAACCGATTACTTCACCAAATGGGTAGAAGCAGAGCCCAAGACGACCACGACTCAAACAGACATAGAGCACTTCATATGGAGGAACATCATTTGTCGATTTGGCATTTCTCAGTCTATAGTCACCGATAACGGCCCGCAATTCGTGGGCAAAGATATGGCGAAAAATAATCGAGAGGCGACACGTGGATTTTTAAGTAAAAGGACAAAATTAATCAAGAGGCGACATGTGGAGGGGCATTTATGGAGCCAAAAATAATCAAGAGGCGACACGTGGATTTTTAAGTAAAAGGACAAAATTACCCTTGAGGAGCACTGGAATTCCTACGCGCGAGCAGTAAACAAACATCCCACAATTAAATCAATAGTGCCCAAAATAGGTAACAAATTCAAAGTTATTTCATCCATCCTCATCCTATATTTTCCACAAGGTAATTATATCATAAACTTCAAAACGTTCCATATAAATTGAGTTAATTGGCTAATTAATGGATTTATTCCTCATTAATCCATTAATTACGAGTTAAATCACCCATCTCACACAAAAAATACCCTAAAGGGCCGGCCACCTTTTCTCCAAATAAGAACCAGCCATGCTCTATATATTGAACCCCATTTTCTCTAAAAACCTAAGGATACACTCTTGCAAAACTCCAAAAACTCTCTAAACATTTTTCTATCTAAATTCTAACTTTGGCATCGGAGGTTCTTCAGCCAAAACCCCCCATTCATCGTGGGCACGTGAGGCTCTTGGCCTTGACCCTAAGGTGTTAGCTATTTTGTAGGTGCAATTTTGTCCAAGAAGAAGGAGGCGGAAATTTGCATCCACAATGGTGATTTTGAATTTTTGAATCCTTCAACCAAGGTATGACTCAATTTATGAATTTTTTGTTCGTTTGATTTCAATTTTTTAGAATTTAGAATATGAGTATTTTAAATTTTACATGTACATTCCAAAATTTTCATGTACTAAATTAGTATTTACGATTTTACACAAAACAGTAATGTTTCTAACATTCAAACACCAGAGACTAACCAAGATGCATCTTGAAATACAATATAATTCAATATAACTTGCAGCCTTTGATATCCTACAGGTAAGTAAGTCTTGTGTCTACGACATATGTGCTTGTAATTAATATGTGTGCCACAAATCTTAGGCTGGTGGTGGTTGCCTTGCATCTTTAAGGCATGGCCATTGGTTAGACTTGTACAGTGGTACTGGATCGGTTGGAATGTCATAAGCAAAGTTTGCAATTGATATGCGATTGTGCAATTTCGAAATTACAGAGATATTATCTTGTCAAACAAACAGTAATGTTTTCAAACAAACCCAATTTAATTACTAGTGCTCCATGCACTTCATGAAGCCTATAGAAAGATTCCTATGAAAAGGTATGGTACCAGACACATATGCTCATGAAACAGAGATCACATAGAGAGAGATGGTGATACATGGTTTTTGTCAACATCTACATAAGTGTCAATCTTGTTGTCAGCCATGGCTGAATTCACACCTCAATTCTCACTGTCCATTTTCAAACGATGTAAAGGTAGAGTTATAAATCAAATGGGTGTAAAAATAAATTCACATATTAAATTGGATTTATAGTGGTATATTAGGTAATAAATTTGGGTTTAATATTAATAGTTTAGTTAAAAATCAAACGGGTGCAAAGAATAAGTTAGGTGTAGAGATAGATTACATGGGTTTAAATAAAATTTTTCAAATTCATATTCAGCAAGATAATTAAATTTTAAATAGAAATTAGAAAAGGTTTGTGAACCAATTTAGTCATGATCACACATGAGCCAACCTTGTAATGGGCCGGTTTGATGGAACATGTCAGCCCAACAATAAACCCATAAAGTAGCCGAATGGCCACGTTCTATATGATGCATCAATGATCTACTAAGGCAGAACCCAAAGAGTCAAGGGAAGGTTCCTAAACATTGTCAACATCGCAAATGTTTCCTCTCCATCATCGTATGATTCACTAGCATCATAAATTAAATCAAGACGTGTTGTGTGAAATATGGACCTGAATGTCGTTGTCCCCAACACTGTGCCATGTTGTGGTTTATCACCAACTTCAATTAGACAGCACAAGATATGTTGAATTACTTATCTAATTTTAAAATGATAACGAATGTGACAATGTTTCATTATTAGGTTGCGATTTAAACACTAACAATACTAAATAAACCAAGTTATTTTATTGAATTTTGAAATATTAACTGATGTGACAATCTTTCATCCGTTTTACATTTGGGCTCATTTTCAAATTTATTTATTCACAGCAATAAAAAAAAATATTAACATTTTTTAAATAACTAAAGTTTGCCTCTAAGTTGATTCTCTGGTATGTTCTCTCATATCTTCTTTCAATCATCATTGTCTTTGAATTTGAATGCGGAAAATAATAATCATTTACACAACTATGCAAGGTTGGCTTTGGTGAAAAGGACATTGTGGAGGACCACATGTCTAAACTCCAATATTGTTGGGTTGCTTCATTAGCAACTTCGTGAAAATTTCAATGGCTAGATTGTTGGTGAAAGATCCTCCTAAAAGTCCACAAAGCAACAAAATTGGATTTCTAATTCATTTCTATATTTAATCAGCTTAAAGCAACCCATATTTTAGCATTAAACAAATTAATAATCTACTTTCCTTGGTACCTATAGTCAGCATTCAAACAATTCATGAGGAACAACAGTACCAACTTAGAATAATAATGGGAACATTAGTAATCAAATCATGCTACCTATGAGAGAGAGAGAGAGAGAGAGAGAGAGAGAGAGAGAGGATTTGTTCAAAGGTGAGGTACTGATAGACGGATGAACTACGTACACAAGCAACTCAGCAAGAGCTATATATAAAAGCTTGAAGCTGCAGGTCAGGGTCTTGTACGCTCTGTAAGGGAGAGAGAATCACTTGGGAGAAGAACAGGCTTTGGTCATTAATTGTTCGATCGAGTGTAAGCTTCCTTACTTCTAATACTATTTGTACTTGCTATTTGTCGTCTGATTCAGCTTCTTCTTCCAAAACTTAGGGTTGTTTGTTTCTGTACAATTTTAGAGTTTTTATTTGCATATTTTGTACCGAAAGGGAGTCTGTTGAGAGTATCCCGCATTAGAGAGGGTAGTATTGCATAAGTGCTTAAAATATTCTTTTAATTTTTCCCTTTATCAATTGTGTTTTTGGTTTAAAACTTGCATTCTAATAGGATGCGTTGAGCGGATTGTTTTGTACGGAGCCAGTAACTTGTAACAATGATTTTGTTTTTCCAGGACCCTTCCTTGAGCTCAAGATCATCAAGAAAAAGAAAAAGGAGCAAATTTGATGGAGATTTCATCAAGAGGAGGATCATCTGAGCTGGTAAGACAATTCTGCAGCAACCCCTGGTGTCGTTTCCTTTTGGACAAAGATAAACATGTGCAACAAAGGTTCTGTTTTTAATGTTTGAATATTCAAGGATTATTTAGCACATAATTAATAATTTGAGATTGTATTAATGTTAATGTTTTGGACTTGTTTGAAACAGTTTCATTCATTGTATTTGATGAAATATTGTCTATACTTAATTTGATAATTAAGAAGGAAAATTGTTTAACTTACAGGGAATGGAGGATCCCTTCTTCATCAACCAGTGGCAGTACATGAACTCTTTGGATGAGCTCGGTATGCTCCCGTTAGCAGCTGCATTTGGAGAGAATTTACAACACTCTCAGTTCCACCCAATTTTCAACCTCAAAACTCCTATCGATAATGCTCATACCGCCATTGACAGACCAACAAAACAGCTCAAAACTGATGGATGGACTTCAGGCAAAACTGATCATCTTGTATCAAATCCACAAGTTGTTTCCTTGCCTCCAAACATTTTTTCGTTCGTCAATTCTCATCATGCAAACCAAATGCCGGTGCTTAAGCCTAAGGAGGAGGCAGCAGCAGTGTGTTCAAAGAGCACCAACACTCTCCCTTCTGATATATTGCTTTCTCAAGGTTCATTTGAAAACCGAAATTATTCATCAAATGGGATCAGCACAACCACTCGGCTTTCTCAGACCCAAGATCACATTATTGCAGAAAGGAAGCGCAGAGAGAAGCTCAGCCAACGGTTCATAGCTTTATCTGCAATCGTTCCTGGTCTAAAGAAGGTAACAGAAATTATATCCTATATCTGTTAATCCACTGCAAGTTTTGTTCAAGGCATTCTTTTACATTTGATTGTCTTGCTTATACTCCAAGTAACCGGTAGGTTTTGGGATGGCATCGATTCCAAGAAATTTGGATTTTTTTTACCTGCTGAATTGTGTTTCTAAACGTAAATCATACTTAATGCTATGACAGATGGACAAGGCTTCTGTTCTGGGAGATTCAATTAAGTACATCAAACAACTGCAGGACAAGGTAAAGACGCTTGAGGAACAGACGAGAAACAAAAACATGGAATCGGTCGTGTTTGTGAAGAAAACACAGCTCTTTGCCAACGGCGACAATTCTTCCTCTGACGAAAATGGCTCCACCCGCCCGTTTGACACGACACTGCCCGAAATTGAAGCAAGGTTCTGTGACAACAATGTCTTGATAAGAATCCACTGTGAGAAAAGAAAAGGAATTGTGGAAAAAACAATAGCAGAGGTTGAGAAGCTCCAATTAAAATTCATCAATAGTAGTGTGATGACATTCGGGAGCTGTGCTCTTGATGTTACCATTATTGCTCAGGTAAATTTCCTTCTCAGTTATATGAATGAAATTTGTTGCTTCACAATATTTTCAATAGAAATGATTTCCATACACTCGTGTCTCCTTCGACAAACTAATGTTTATTTTTGTCCCTTAGACTCTCTTAATTTATTCAATCAAAAAACAGAGATAAACAGCCGTGTGTTGGGGATGAAATGGGCGAATATCTCTTCGCCACTTTTAATCCAAAGTCATTTGATACCATATCTCGATCTTTGCAGATGGAAGCGGAATTCAGCCTCTCGGTGAAGGATCTCGTCAAGAATCTACGCGCAGCTTTTGAGCTGTTCATGTGAAATGAATCTACTCGCAGCTTTCGATCTGTTCCTTGCTGCAGAAGCTTCACAATAAATAGGAGTATTTCCTCAAATATACCAGTCCAAGTTTAAGTATCTTTTTCAGAATCTCTGTTTACAAGGCCTGCAATCCTTCACCAAGTTAGATTACCAGTACCTTCAAGCTTGTTTGCTGTCAGGTTAATATTTTGCAGGAGGGTTTTTTCACTTCAACTTTTTTTCATGGTTAACTTGTTTACCATGCTTATTTACCCACCTGTTTAAGCAAGTTATCTCACAGCTTTTGTTTTACTTCAAGGAGTTTGCCAAATGCGACTCATCCCTTTGTGTCCCCTAGGGTTTTTTTTTTATAGGTGAGGATGAAAGCAGGCATTTGTTTGGTCAGCGTTTTAGAGGCATCTTGAACATCTAATTTCTTGAGCCTCTTTTTCTAGTAATCTTCTCTTTATATGTAACCCTTTTGTTGCCAAGTAATGGAAAATAAGTAATTTCATGTTACCTTTACCCACAAGTATTTTGGAGTGGATGTATGTTATTCTATGTAACAAAATAACGTTCCGTTATTTTTAATTGGCTTCTTATGATTTGGGCGAAGTTCCACTTTAGTTTCTACAATTTAAGTTTTATCGAATGCAATCACTTAATTCACTAATTATTGTAATGTTGAGCACAAGCTTAATTTTCGTCAAAAATTTTCACAAATTAGCACATGTATAAAATCCAAGGGGTAAATTGGTATTGCATCATATGTGCGTTAAACATGTTACACAAACTGATGTGAAAAAATTAATAAACGCCATGACTACAATCGCAAAAAAAATGATACTTTGCCCAAACTATAGGAATCAAATCATCGTTTTGCCTTTTTAACTTTCCTCGTCCAAATGATTGTGTATACTCTCTAAACAAAGGGAAAACACACACACACAAAATGCCATCACAAGGATAATAGTTGAATACCATCATAGCATATATCAAAATTATTGGAGGTTAGTTGGGAATATTAGGGGTGGTTCGGTATGGGATACCGAACCGAAAGTAGTATCCCGAATCCCAAACTGAAATTTTTTGGGACGGGAATTTGAAGACCAATCCCAAACCAAAATTTCGGGAATCCCAAATTTCGGGAATCCCAAAATATTTTCGGGATTTTGGGACAAATCGGGAATCCCAAATTAAAATATGAAATTATGAATTATTCTTCAAATATATAATTTAAGAACACATTCATGAACTAGGAATGTCATTTCATTCACATTACCATTTAATCAAATATTGGCATGCTTGATTGTTTTTATCAAAGTCAAAATTCAAATTAATTAAACCCTTTTGACAATCTGTTAAGAGACAAAAGAATCAAACCTTCTGAAATCATTAACCATGACAGCAGCAATAATAAAATCCAAATGAATATCAAACAGAACATGAAAAATATGCAAGGTGTAAGGCATTCCAGGTTGCAGAGCATGAATTAGAAACTACTAGCATCAATTATAAAAGAATAATATATAATATATATATATATATATAAATTAATAATATATAATTTCGGTTTGGTATGGGATTCCCGAAATATTGAGAAGTCAATCCCAAATCCCATACCAAAATTTCGGGATCGGTTCGGGATAGCATCCCGAAAATTTCGGGAATTTCGGTTTGGGAAATTTTTGGTTTGGGATCGGGATTTTTTTGGTTCGGTTTGGGATTTTCGGGATTTTTTTCCACCCCTAGGGAATATAGCTGATTAATTAAGCTTGCTGGTTTTTGGTATTGGTGGGTGCTGGGGAGTAGACTGGACAAATAAGACTTTGAAAAATTGACACTAACTAGAGACTCAAACTTGGAATTTTGGAGGTCTTATTATCTTATAAGTTTAGGTGAATGATTAGCGGAGCTTAATATTCTCTGCTAGCCCCACTAAGATTGTGATCTTTGGTATGACTTTATGGCAACAACCTCTCTCAAGTTTCAAAAGAATAATCCCCCTTCATTATAATCATAAATTATGATACTTCAGAGGGGGAGAATTAAAGAATTAAGGCAAATGTAACCGTTGATTGGATGAGATTTTATATTGAATATCTATAAGCCAGTAATTCACTTGAGTCACAGAATCTCGTGTTAATTTTGCCTGTTGGTCTTATAGTCTCATATTAATAAATGATTAAAACTTGTCTATAACTAAGTGTAGAAGAACAATACGATAATAAATTAGAACTGTAATAAGTTCAGAGTTTGATTTCTTGCTATATAATAAAAAATGAATATCCTAATCCTATGATAATCAGAAAAAGGAATATTCTATGCATGTACACATAGAGCATAAGAACTAACAAAGCAAGTTCCTCAAATAATTCCTCAAATTGTATTAGGGCAAGTATGTATGCCGTTAATAAATGAAATTTCAGTCTTTTTGTTACAAACAACTGGATTTTGATTTCTAAACACCCATAATTTTGTCCCTTTCTCTCCTTGTGAGAGACCTTCCCTCTGGTTGAGGGTGATTCTCACTGTTCTGTGTGAGTGGTTCCCAATCGAGTCCCTTTCTGTTGTCGCCTATCCTAGCTATCGGTGGGTTTTCTTTCATTTTTTTCTTCCTTGAGTTTCTTGGTTGATCTGCCTTCCTCTCTCCCCTGTGTTGTCTCTCATCCATCTTCATCCAATTTCCGAGCTTCAATCACCTTTGACCACGATTTGTTGCGGTATTTTGAGTGGGTGTGTATCGATCTGGTGCTTCCACTGGGTCACGTGTTCCTTGCACCGTCACCCTCTCTTTGTTGTCTGCCTTTGTTGGTAGTGTTGCTCGTGGACTCCCACGAGCTTCTTTCAATTGGTTGCAGGTTCTTGGTGGTCTGTAGCTGTGTTCAGAGTGAAGCTTAGATTTGGCTGCGGGTATCGATGAGGCACGGTTTATTTTGGGGCCAGATTTTGGATGGATCGACATGCACGGCTGCTGTTTTGGTGTTGCAGTGGCGGTGGTGGTGGACGATGCAATGAAAGCGGAAGTTTCTGGGTTTTCTTTTGTTTTGGTCTTAATTTTTGGTTGGGCTACTGTTCTTTGTTTGTGTGTTTTGTTTTTGGGCCTTTGTGTTGTATATTTTGGCCATTTATGTTGTAAAGTTTGTGATTGAACATATGTTGCCTTTGTTCTAAAAAAAAAAACAAAACAACTGGATTTTGTTGTTGATTGGTTTTGATTTCAATTGGGCTGCTTCTTTCGTTACATTTACACTTTAAATGATTTGGTTTTTCAAAAATTTAGCCTGCAAGGTGTCATGGTGTAGTTGGTTATCATATAAGTCTAACATGCTTGTCTGGTAAGCTAGTTGAGATTGGATCTTAAGAATATGATTGGATTGACAAAGATTTGTAAGATATGATTTGTAACCATGTAAAAATATAGGTTAGATAACTTATTCTATTATGGAATCATAACTCATCATGTTCAATTATGTCTATGTATAAGACATGAAGTACATGCAAGTCATGTTCATCTCATATTTGATATAATAAATAACGAACTGAACTCAAGTATATTTTAATTTATCATAATATATCTTATCCAATCCATCAAACGGGATCTGAAGGTCTCGGGGTTCGAACCCCGTCAACACCATTTTTATGTTCCGTAGTCTACCGGACGTCGTTTTGTGTAATCTATTTTAAACGTTGCCGTTTATTTCTCCTTAACGGTGTTACGAACCTCAATCCAAGCATAGAAACCCGCGAAACACGCGGCGGGCTAACTCAAATTTGCCTAATCCACGTCATGGTGGGAAGCCTCCACCCAACCTCAGCCAATCACGCGAGCCGTTGGCATAACTTCCTCCCTTCCCATTGGTCCATTTCCTCCACGTCATCACCCTCTAGATTCTTCACCACTCAAATTTTCCCAAGAAAATTAAGAAAAATGAATTTTCTCGAGAAAAAACGCCCCCACTTTCCCATACATAAAAGATGAAACCCCGAATCCAAAATCTAATCAAACCCACCACCGATTTCATTTCCCAAAATCGCAACTGTCCAATTCCCAGTTCGTCCAAAAATTGAAAATCCAAAAACAATGGCTTCCAAAACGCTGCTTTTGATCCTATTGACGGTGCAATTCCTCCCGTCCTCCCTCTCTCTGATTTCCGCGCCGGAGCTCCGCCCTCCCTACGCCACCCCCAGAGCCATCTCCGTACGCCCCATCTCTTTTTCTCTCTCTCTACAATTTGATTTTTTGGATTCGGATTGATTGATTGATTGATTGGTTGTTTGATTGAGATTTGGTTGGTTGATTTGCAGGATTTGAAGGAGGCGATTGTGAAGGGACTAGGGTTTCAAGCGGAGGATCTGAAGGTGTCGGGGTTCGATTTGAGGGACGCGCAGGTGGGGCATTCGGTGGCGTACGAGTTCGACGTGGAGGTGGACAACAAGGTCCTGCCTTTCAAGCTTCTGGAGGACGTCGACCGCTGGGACTACGTCGACTTGCCCATTTTTAGGGTCGAGGACGAAAATGGGTTGGTCCAGAAAGGCAAATCGGGTGGTGGGTTGCCTCCGGTTTTGGCTCCGTTTCAGCTGGCTGGGCCCATGGAGCTCTGGATTCAGGACGCCAAAGATATGAGGATTTCGCTTCCTGTAAGTATAGGCTACTAGGTTTCGAATATTTAGCTCAAAGTGTTTTAATTTTTAATACACAAACGATATTTTACTTTAAACTAATATAGAATCTGCGGATTTGACGAATCATTTAAAATTTTAACTTGGTCCTAATTTTAAAAGTATGATTTACGGAATTATAATCACGGAAGTAAAATTGCAATGTGACCTGTTGTTTATGATTAAAATTTGGAGTTTTGGGAACTGATTTGTTGAATGTTATGCAGCATGATGTGGATGCTGGTGTGTTGAAGAAGGTGATATTGGCAGAAGGGGCTGTGGTCACAGTGAAGGGTGCCAGGTCTGTGAGTCTTCGCCAACCTCTTCAGCTCCCATTGCCATTGAACCGAACCAACAATGGGTTCGCTTCTGGTCTTGTGACCTTGGCTGAATGGCTGCGCCGTGCTTCCCGAACCCAATCATCTCCACTGCTGTCTCTCCGCATTGTTGGTCCGACTTCCCTCGCATCACCTTCCTCGACCTCTCCCTCCGTGAACAACAAGCTCAAACTAAAGCGCCTTGCCCCAGGCCTTGTGGAGTTGTCCTCACGATCAAACACCAAGCCCGTTTCTGTTGAGCTGCAAAACCAAGAGACCACGGCCATTTTAACCCCTAGCTACTTCAGCACGGTCTGGCCCCTTGCTTCCATCAATGGCTCGAACCCTAACTTGGTAGGTTTCGAGTCACTGCTTGCGTCCGTGCTGGGTCCTAAGGCCAATAAGAAAGGATCCTTCAAGTTATTGAAGGCAGATGTGTCTGCACAGACGTTTTTGAAGATCGGGTTTGGGGTCGAGAAGAAGCTCAAAGAAGGAGATGGGATTGATTTGAAGGGTTTTCCAGAATGGAGGACAAAGCCTGAGACCGTGAGGTTGCATTTTGAGGTGCTGGCTAAGGTTGACGGGGATAAGATCATTCCAGAGAGAGTGGTTCCGGTTAACCCTGTATTAGTGGAGGACACCGTGGCACCGAGTTAGCTACTGGGCAATGTCTCCATGTCCACAGTCCCCATCATTCATCCTCCGGCGAACCCCTATACCTTGTAAAGTTTTCCGGTTTAGGGTTTACTGATACAAAATCTGGAAGTGTAAAGATAAAACCGATTTTGTTCCTTTTTTTCTTCAAGCATGAGGAGTTAGATGAGGTGTGGTTATACTATAAAAATTTATGTAATGGAGTTACCGAGCGTTTAAATTAATTTATGAAACCTTGATTTATATGTATATATAGCATGAGTTCAACTTAGTCAGAAGGACTGATGTTTGAGATGACAATTTAATCCAACTGGATTCTGAGTACAACAGCAAACTAAATACAAATCTCTGTAGGAAACTTGAGCATTTAGTAAATTTCACTTCTTGATGAACGAAACCCCCTTCTGGATGCTTGCTGCTAACTCCGTTTTCGCCTTCTCTAATCCAACCCTATTGACAAACCAATAAGAATGTTTAAGTTGTTCTAAGCTGTTTTGCAGCAACACAATTGTGGAGTGTGCATAATTAAGAACTGTTTTACCTCTCATACTCATTCAGAGGCCCGAGTTGGTAGATTTCCTCTGCTCCGCCACGACCAAGCCGGACCTTGGTTGCGAAGAAAGGAAGTTCGGTTACCTGCCACAAAGATTAAGCATTGTGCTTGGTTACTAGAAGTTCAGAACTTGGTTTTAAGACAACGTTGACGCCAATAAGGCTAGAACAGAGTACCTCAGAGGCAACATAAGCGCATTCAACAACACCAGCATCTCCTCTCAAGCCGCGGAGGCATGCATCCGCAAATTTCACAGCTGCATATGCCTGCAGAATGTTTTAGTCAATTCCAAGACTTGATAATCCTGAAAGAAATTATGCATATACAATTGAGCGAATTGAAATGACCAACCATTGACAGTGTTGCCGAACCAGCCCCAGCTTTTGCCTGCAAAATTGCGAATGATAAAGTTGTCGGAGTTTTGTATATGATTTCATTGAAGAATAAACACACAAGAACAACGCCTGGACTAAACAGTAATATGGAAGAACAATATGCGTCAAACCAGATTCATAGCTTTCCAGATAATAAGTGAAGAAGATTCACAAGCTAAGAGGCATTACCTCAACAACTTCTGTTCCACCGTTTTGAATCCGGTTTGTTAGGTATTCTGTTTCTTCTTTGGTGAAGGAGCAAGGAGGCTTGACCTGCATACACAGGCATCGTCTTTAGAATTTTGCGCGCTTGTACGGCAACCAGTTCATTATTTGAAGGTAACATAAGAAAACAACTAAAGATGCCGAAACTTGTATCCTTCTATACAACCTGTGACAGAAGCGGCAAAATGGTCACTCCGGCATGACCACCAACAACTGGAACATCGACTTCCCTAGGATCAAGTCCAAGAACTTCTGCCTGGAAGAAAATTATGCGAGTGGAAAATGAAAAAACCACGAACATAAATGATAGGAAGCGCACACAAACTTGTTTGACTAGTACTTACAACAAAAGTATTTGCTCTCACGACATCAAGCATCGTGACTCCTAGAAGACGCTTTGGGTCATAAGTCCCGGCTTTCTTGAAAACCTCTGCTGCAATAGGAACTGTCGAGTTCACTGGATTACTGATCAAGTTGACGATTGCCTTAGGACAGGCTTTCGCAATTCCTTCACAGATGGTCCTGACAATTCCCGCGTTTATTTTGAAAAGATCATCCCTTGTCATTCCAGGCTTCCTTGGAACACCGGCAGGTATGATCACAAGGTCTATGCCCGTGAGAGCGCTCTCAAGCTGTGGCTGCCCCAAGAAACCGCGCACCTGAACTCCAAGGACGATACTTTCTTAATCTAAACACTTGACTTGAAGACTTGAATATCAGAAAATAAATTAAAAATTGTACGTCTCATTCTGTTATCTAATCGAACGGTTCATAAAGTTCTAAATCAAGTATCTCGGATTAGGTTCGCATTAGAAATTTAGAATGCTTCCGTAACTTACAAAGATCATTGTCATTAACTAGGAATCATAACATTGTTATAGAATGTAACGAACATTTCATCGAAAACAAATTGAAGATTAAAGTTGATGAAGAATTCATTACCACAGCTCCGGTATCCATGTGGCTAATGTCAGCTGTGACACCGGGGGCATTAACGACATCATAGAGATGAAGAACTGAAACCAGTGGGTTCATCTTCATGAGCATTGCAAGAGGTTGGCCAATGCCTCCAGCAGCACCCACAATCGCCACTTTGAAGCCCGGCGCCCCGCCTTTGGCTCTGCAGTCACCTCTGCTCAGAGCAGAACCATCCTCCACCTTCACACAACCCATAATCCCGACATCATTATTTGGCACCACAACAGCAAAAACCAAGCCAAATTTGAAAACCGAAAAACGTAACTTTGAGTTTTCAGTAACGAAATGGTTATCAACGGGCTCCTAAGCAAATCTTGATCATAAATTTCAAATAGACCGGATGTTAACCATCATATAATACTAATTGCTACTTCATCAACAGTCACTAAACTTTTTTATGAAGTAGTACATCAGAAAATAAGTTAGCTCAAGTCACGTAACGCATTTTTATTGAGCCAAAGGTAAACCCGAGCGGATTAGGCTAATCGGCTAGGGCAGTATGCTCTCCCTCGCATCCGAGTTAAAATCTTTTCTCTATCTAGTAAATTAATATAGAATATTGCTTTGTCAAAATAAACAAGGAAAATCCAAGAGAGAACCTGGGAATTTGGTGGAAACAGATGAGCTGAAATCCTTGCAATGCGTCCATTAGCTTCCACGCTCGACTCCATTTTCTCTGTGCTTTTTTTCAGACAAAGGGAGAGTGAGAGTTTTCAAGTGTACCGAGCTAACCTGCTTGCACTGCATGCAATGGAGAATGGACAATAAATAATTAAAAAATCCAAAAAATCCCACTTACGAAAAAAACAAAGAGATAATTGGAAGGAACGATACATAATTTTTTTCTCAATATTTAAAATGTGTGGAAACTAATTATTTGGAGCTCTTATCCTATCCATTTTTCTCAATTGTGGCTCTCACAAATTTTGAACTAGCAACTTACACCTGTCTGAGTTTGATCCAAACTTGTTTATACTGATGTGGTGACGTGGCACCATGGCTCTCCCTTTCCCAAACTTGGCCCACCAATTTTTTCATGGATCAATATCCAACCCAGAAAGGAATTTGCAGGATTCAGGGCCATTAAACGGGCCAAAATACCAAGTTATGAGACTTGAGGTCCATTGGACTCTATTATTTATCATCCAAAGAATAAGACAAATTACTTATTTTTTATGAGTAAATGTTACGAAGATCAAATTTTTGCACCAAATTTGAATAACACGTGACGCCACGCATACAATGTAACCAATAATACCTTCTTCTTTTTTTAACAAACAATATTATCTGCAGTAAAGAGTGAATGTGGCTCATAATGAACTAGCAATAATATGGTTTAAATTCGACTTTGTTGAGAATCGAACCTAAGACTTCTTACTTATAAGTGAAGAAGAATGCCACTAAACCATGGTACTAAGTGGTTGTAACTAATAATACATAGAGATATGATTATTGGTTGACGTAACATATACAAATCACATATCACACGATGTTGTATGGTATTTCTAAGTGTTATTGCTTTTTGTAAAAATTCTACATATACTAAAACCCAGTTTAGAAGGTTCACTATTCTTAAGCATAGTAAAATGACAGAAATACCCCTATTTTATTGTTTAAATTTTTCTGTTTTTTTTCTTATTTTCACAGTGAAATGACTAAAAAGCTGGGACATACGTGTTGCTTTTATATGATAGTGCGCTGTCGTCTACTTCGTGTTGTCATCTCCTCTCTATTTGATTTACTTTTCACTGCCATAAACCGTTCATTGCCTTTTTCTCTTGTCACAGCCATCGCAAAATCCCTCAACCCCTCAAACCAACAAATTCAATTTCGCAATCTCTCACAGCTAATCTGAACCCTTGCAACTTCACTATCAAGTATTCAAGGTATGGATTGAACTCTGAATCTTCCTCAAAATCTTTTCACTTTTTCATATGGGTTTTTTTGAATTTCAGAAAATATTCTCTTCTTAGGGTTCAATTTTTGTTAATTTTAGTTGTTTTCTCCTAATTTTGGTGATTAGATTTTGAAACTTTTTTTTTCCCAAATCCACATTGACATGGGTTTGTGGTTGTTTTAAGGAGTGCAAGAAGACAATGGCATCTGCTCAACTCAAAGCTTTTCTTTCAATGGTTAATTAGTACCTTCTCGACTCATTGCCAAAATCTCTTCAATTTCAACAGCAGCGGCCACCACTCTTCCCCAAAGGTAAATTTCTCTTCTCTTTCTTGCATTCAAAATCTTCGAAGTCCTCATCTACATTGTTTGATTTCTGCAATTTCGATTCACAGAAACATGGTTCTCTCTGCAGCACTGCCCATTTTCCACCAAAATCACATCTCAAATTCTTCCAATTTTGAACACGACATGCCGGCGAAGGTCAGTACCCTCACTCATACCCAATTTACCCAAAGATAATTTTAATATCAGTGATGGGTTTTTAACAGGCACTTTAGTTGAGTTAGGGTTTTGTTCAATTAAATCTCATTAGTTTGATTCTAATTCAATAAATTTGAGTTAGGGTTTTGTTCAATTCAATTTTAATAGTTTGATTCTAATTAACAAATTTTCCTCATAGTCCATTCAATTCGTTTTATTTCTAATTTGGATTTTGAAAGTGAGTAAATTTTGTAATTGCTTGCTGCAATTATTCAACTTATGTCTCTACAATATTTATTTACTTATAGGTGCTCAGCCATCGTAAGGGTTAATCTGTATCTTTTTTTGTTCCTTACTACAAGAACTACATCTTTGCACCAACTATTGAGATGACCATGGAAATAGTTGAGCTAAAAAAAAGGAGCAAGATGATCAAAAGCAACAATCTGCAGCACCTTACTTTGTTAAAAATATTGAATTGATCCTAGGTGAGAATGAGCGTTGATACGCAATAATTTAGTTCCTGTGACAATAATGTTGAATCTACTTTTATTATACGTTCAATTTATAATCTAATCTTATTTTTCTTCAATTTCTTTAGAAATAAGAATTTTGATTTCAATTTTTTTTTTTTAATTTTTGTTGAGAATTCATATACTTACCTTTCTTTTTACAGATTCCTGAAGCCTTGGCAGAACAATTTATGTGTGTAGAGTAATGAAATTTATCATTTGTATCAGTGGCATTCAAACACATCTATCTAATGAATGATTGAAAGGATGGATATATATATATACACACACACACATTTTCTTTGTCATTTCAATGTAGTGATAAACTAGGGTTAAGCGTTGAATTGGGATCCTTTGCAACTGGACTAATTATATCAACTACTGATCTCATATAGTCAAGAAATATGTAAGCTGTTATTATACTCTAGAGAAATTAAGTACATTGGACAACCTCATTCATCCTCTTTTGTTTTTTTTTTTTTTATTTATTTAAATTTATTTTCCCCCTCAATTTTTCTACCATGCTATTTCATTTGGTTTTTGATTTTCCTAAAGGTTTTCATTTGAAGGGAAAATATTGCATTCGTATGGTTTATAATTTTCTTTTTTGTTTTGTTTTCTTCCTTGCTCAGGCATTATTTTCTTTTTGCTGCATATTGATATTGAGTTTCTGTTTGGAAATGCCTATGTTTTTTTTTTTTCACTTGCTGAAAATGTCTCTGCCAAATTTTTAAGGGCTTTTTCTTTGTTTCTTCTTATCTTCCTCTTTCTCTGTCCAATTATAAAGCAGTTTTACGTTTTTGTTGCTATAAAGGGTTTTCCTTTGTCCAATTATGCTTAACGCAACTTTTTCTAATTTAAATGGACTCTTTTTGTCACACATTGTATTTGATAGAACATATGAAAAAAGAGCGAAAACGGATTATATATGCTCCTTCATTATCATAAGAAAACTCCGTCTTAGCTTTTGATTATGTGTCCCCCATTTGTTTACTTATATGTTTTACTGTTTTGAGTTAAATTTAACAAATTATCCACACTAAGAGCTCCCTATTTCAAAATGCGAACCCATATAGAGAAAATCCATAAGAGAAAATTGCAAAATCCATTTTTTCTAGAATAGCAAATTCCATTTCCAACTTACTTTATATATTATTCTACATATGTATGAGTACAACATTGTACATCAATGTCTTTTCTTTTTTAGCTTTACATTTTACTCATTTGTATGTTGTTGCTCTCAAACTTCATATAATCCTCATTCGCTTCATTGTTTGCACATGATTCCTTTATATATGGTTTCTTTGTGAAATTAATCACAACAGATTATTACATCTTCGTCATAATGATACCTTCTTTACAATTTTAATTTCTACATACACATTCATTTTTTAACTGTTTTTGTTGCTATAAGTGATTTATTTGAACTCCCCGACTTTGTCTAATTAGTATCACTGAGATATATTTTGTGACATCCCACATCGTCTAAGAGAGTGATCCTTATATGTATATTTCCATCTCTACCTAGCACAAGGCTTTTTGGGAGCTCACTGACTTCGGGTTCTGTAGGAACTCCGAAGTTAAGCAAATAGCGCGCGAGAGCATTCCCAAGATGGGTGATCCATTGAGAAGTTCTCATGTAAGTTCCCAGAAACAAAACCGTGAGGGCGTGGTCGGGGCCCAAAGCGGACAATATCGTGCTACGGTTGTGGAGTGGGCCCAGGAAGTGGTCCCCCCAGGCTGGGATGTGACATATTTGATATAGAACTTAAGTGCGAAAAATGGGTTGGTTTGAATGCACTCATTTTAGTCTTTTTGCATCTGATAGAGCAGGTGAAAATAATGGGAAACAAAAATCTCATTTGCACCTTCAGGATCACAAATGAACTCTATCTCAGTTTTACTTTTATGTCCCCCCCTTTGTTTTCTTATATGTACGAACTAACAACTCCTTGTTTTTTTCTCAAAATTTGTAGGAACTAGCTGAAACCTTAAACAACATAATGAAGATGAAGATGAGCCGGAAACAATTAAGTAGGAAAATCTAGATTCAATAACATGTTCATAGTCTATCTAAATATTTTGAATAATGAGCAGTTTAATGCTGTTAATCTTTTGATCACGGTAATATGTTGCTAATTTACTTTCTCAAACAACAGACATGTAAATATTGATATATAAAACTTATTTTATGTTAAATAGTATTGTCTTAAACGGTGTTCTTAAAACCCACATCAAAGCGTGGGTATTCATGCTTGTGGAAACTATAGGTAAGATGAACATTTGCAATCCAAGGTGTAAGATCGCCAAACATTAAGGTGTAATTTTAATAAAAGGAATTGGGGTGTATACAATTGCAAACTTGATTTTATTGAACATCTTTTAATATGATTATACAAGTCATATTCTATTTTATACAACTCTAAATTATAAACAAAAGATTTAAACTTAGACACATAAAAAAGAGCACAACTGTTCTAATCAACATACTAAAAGAGCGCAACTGTTCTAATCAACATAGTTACGTCCACATTTGTGAATTGTGATTAGAGATAAACGTTAATCTGTGTCTTTGAAGTTTCAAATACAGTTTTGAACAACCTACATACAAACGCGTGTCAACAAATTGTAGCATTCTTTGGTAACTTACTGTTTCAACATTTTGTTACAAAAGTTGGGGATGTTTAAAAAAAGACACACCAAAAGAAAAAATAAACGGAAACAATTAGGCTTTTTAGTCAAATTGGTTCCTAAAATTGATATAATTTCTCAAATTTAAAATCAATCGAAGTGGTCCATGAGGTTATTTACTGTCAATCATTATTGTCATTTTATGAAAAATTCCATTAAACTAAGGACAATTTTTATCAAATCAATCCCGCTACTTGAAATGGTGATTTCTTCAATTAATGGAGTTTTTTTACATAATGACTAAAATGATTGACGGATGACAATCTCAGGAACTACTTGTATATATTTTAAATATTAAAAAGTCAAACTAAGGAGTTATGACTATCTCTCAAAATAGATTTTGGCTAAAAATCCAATCATATGAGACACAAAATCAAAGTGGGATCCAAACAATTATACGAGACAACACATCAAAGTGGGATGGCTTTAAAGCATATGATTTGATAAAGTCCACAATATAAATGCAAATGTGACCATGTGGTTGTTGGTACATGGACCCACAAGTTTGATCTTTCTTTGACTCTCTTGCATTCACCGAATTAATTTCCCAATCTTCCACCAACCTTACTCCTTAGTCAATTTGACTAGTCAACTGATTTTGATTTTTTTTTTTTTGTTTTTGAACAACGCATTCACTGAATTAGTTCCCAATCTTCCACTTACCTTACTCTTTAGTCAATTTGACTAGTCGAACTGATTTTTTTTTTTTTAACAAACAATATCATCTACCTTAAGGGAAGAGGGTAAGTTTAGCCTCATAATGAGTTAGCAATAATGTGGTTCATACTTTTCTTTTAACGATAATTAAACCTAAGGTCTCTCACTTACAATATACGATTGCATTCAGTGAATTAGTTTCCCAATCTTCCACCTTCCTTACTCTTTAGTCAATTTGACTAGTCAATTGATTTTTTTTTTTTTTTAACAAACAATATCATCTACCTTAAGAGGAAGGGGTAAGTTTAGCCTCATAATGGACTAGCAATAATGTGTTTTCATACTTTCTTTTTGGCGAGAATCGAATCTAAGGTCTCTCACTTACAAATGAAAATAAATACCACTAGACCGTAGTATTAAGTTGCAGTCAATTGATATTTTATATACCATAATTTGTTATTTGAATGTATTCAAAGAGTGTGACTTCAATGCTATTATTTAATGATACGAGCGTATAATTGCATTTAAATTTTATAATTATTTGAATATTTTATTTTTAATTTCAGTCTTCATTCGCATATCATTTTTTTTTTACCAAAATTGTGTATCATTTAATGTTACAAAGTAGTTTTAAATAAGTTTTATATAAAAAAATTTGAAAAGAAATATCAAACTTTGGTGATCTAGTGGGATGCTTAGAACAAAAAGAAAATGATTAAACTAGGGTTTCACAGGAGAGAGATCATAAGAGATGTGGTTGTTGCCTTTTCAATAAACAACTTACCCTAAATTTGTTGGTGAAGGCACGTCTTACAACTCTTTAATTCTTTAAATGGATACTAATATATCGCCCACTATACATTGTGTTTAAGAAATTAAGGTTCAATCGCCAATATATTTCGCCTATCTTCTTTTCTAAAAGTAAAATTTGCACGAAAAATTGTGTAAAACTAGTGTCATGCATGCAAGTTTTATTTTTAGAAAAGAAGATAGTAGCAACTTACATAGAACAAATTCATTCTCATGCTGCGTTGCAATTCAATAATATGCGACATACGAGTCTATTGTAAAAGAGATTCAAACCATTTGCAGTGTTGCAGTCAACACTGTATTGTCCATTTTCCTTGCAACTCTGATGGTTATTTTTTATACACGAGGACAGGCAATGTCCTAATCATGCAACCATACACTCATAGACTTTGAACTATAATTAATAAAATTGCAATTAGCTTGCTAGACTAATCCAACTCTGTCAACTTCAATCTGCTATTTATCTATATCTGCATGTTTTTCTCTAACCAGATTTTGTAAACCCAAATGATGTAAATATTGATGATTAAATTATTAATTAAATATTAATTAACATGCTTATTTTTTATTGTTGACATATCAGTTGATTTACAAATTTTGTTTAAAATTTCGATCTCCTTAGCATTATATTAACGGATCCATGCAGGCTTCCAGGTAATTTACCAGGGGATGCTGACATGGCAGTTTTAGATTCAACAGTGGCGGCCTAGTAGACCACATTCCTAATCCACACATGCGTAAACATTTGAAGATTTTGTCTTTAAGATATTTGTATTGTGACACCGCCAACTAAAATAGAATTTACGCACATTTGGACTGATTGTGCCGTTTAGTAGGTGGGAGAAAAGAAACTGTTATTATCTTCTTTGCTTCTTTTTCCTTACAAAAAGAATAGCGTGCCAGAATGACTCAGTTTATCAATTATTATACTACACTTGATTAGAAACTTAAAAATAAATTTTAACTAATTATATAATGATATATGGTATATAGACCGTGCTTTAGGCACATTGAAAAATCTATCATCTCTCTAGGAATGAGCTTGTTCTTTCATACAAATAATATAGTTTGACTTTAAAACTTTTATAATAGGAGTTATTCGATTTTTTAGTATCTATTTGAAGATGACTCTTACAAAACTTTATTTCAACAATAGATCATTTGGTCACTCAAATCTCACGTACAAATCGATAGTTTAGGCACCAACATATATATGATCAGCAGTCTATTTATTTGATATGTTTGGAAGATTAAACGATCTCTAATTTGAATTATGTTTCAAAATAATGATTTACAAATGAAGATTAATAAATTGAACGGATCCGATAATTGAATTTATTCGGTCAAAATATATATTTTTCACAAATACGGGGTGCAAGTAATCCATTAAGATGGAAAGTAAGCAAACTAATTAGTACAAAAATGTTTTTTTTGGCTTTCTAATAAGTAGATGATTAGACATAATTAGTTCCTCATTGGGTATCAAGTTGCAAAACATCTACAATTAAATTCGAGGGAGATGAGACCCTACATTTTAGAGATAATCGTGATCCCCTAATTTCATTAGCAAAAGAAGCACAGAGATATAATTTGTGAGTTAAACTAGTTAGTTAAGAAAACGTAAAACCTCTTGAATCTAAGTTCGAATATCTCTGATCGAAAACCAAACCGGACAATTAATTAATTTATGGAATCCGATCCGATTTATGAAACCCATGCTTAATTACAACTTCAACATTCCGTACCAAAAATTTCTTCCCCCATTCTGCTTACCACGCATGTGAATTCCCTCTCACCGTGTGAACACATGAACTCGTATTCCAAGCCACCCTTTTCCCTCTCGACTTCCAACTTGCCACTCCATCGAGTCCATTCACCGTAACCAAAAGCTGGCACATCCCCCTTAGCCACCACCTCCAGCTGACCTCATGTCTTTCCGGCAGAGATTACCTCCGACGACGACAACCATCCTCCTCCCTCTGCTCTTCCTCTTCCTCTCCCTGTTTTCTCCATCCACATCCGACGAGCTTCAACCTCTCTTAAACCTCAAGCAATCCCTTGAAACCTCAAACCCAAGTCTTTTCACTACTTGGGCACCACCCAATTGGGTCTGCAACTTCACCGGGATTGTCTGCGACTCCGACGGCTTCGTCTCTGAAATCAATCTCTCCCAGCAAAACCTTTCCGGGTTTCTTCCGTTGCACGCAATCTGCTCGCTTCCATCGTTAAAAAAGCTTTCTTTGGGCTCCAATGGATTGTACGGAAGCCTCACGGATGACCTGAAAAACTGCTCGAGCTTGGAGCAGTTGGATTTGGGTAAAAATTCGTTTACCGGAAAAGTTCCAGACTTGTCTTCTTTGACAAAATTAACCCTCCTGAGTCTCAATGGCAGCGGATTTTCCGGGAAATTTCCATGGAAATCGCTGGAAAATCTCACGAGCTTAGCGTTCTTGAGCCTCGGCGACAACCCTTTTGATCAAACTCCATTTCCTGAAGAAGTTGTGAAGCTTGAAAAGCTTTACTGGCTGTACCTCACGAATTGCAGCATCGCCGGAAAAATCCCAGAGGAGATCGGAAACCTCACTCTGCTCGAAAACCTCGAGCTTTCGGACAACCAACTGTTGGGAGAAATTCCCCAGAGAATTTCAAATCTCGGGAAGCTGTGGCAGCTCGAGCTTTACAACAATTCTCTGACCGGAAAAATCCCGGTTGGATTCGGCAACCTCACAAGCCTTGTCAATTTTGATGCCTCAGTTAACAAGCTTGAAGGTGGCCTCTCTGAGCTGAGGTTTTTGACAAGGCTTGAGTCTCTGCATTTGTTCGAAAACCGGTTAGAAGGCGAGGTTCCAGCGGAGTTTGGGGAGTTGAAGAGCCTTTCCAAGCTCTCACTTTACACGAACAAGCTCACCGGTGCACTTCCTCAAAAGCTAGGTTCTTGGGCGGGATTGGATTACATTGACGTGTCGGAGAACTATCTGACTGGTGCTATACCACCCGGAATGTGCAACAATGGGAAGATGATTGATTTTCTCCTTCTGCAGAACAATTTCACAGGTGGGATTCCTGAGAGCTATGCCAATTGTAAGTCTTTGGTTCGGATTCGTGTGAGCAAAAATTCGCTTTCGGGCACTGTTCCTGCTGGATTATGGAGCTTGCCAAATGTTATTCTCATTGATCTTTCTATGAATCAATTTGAAGGTCCTCTGGCACCAGAGATTGGTAAGGCAAACTCTCTGTCACTATTACTTTTAGCGAATAATCGATTTTCGGGTGAATTGCCTGACGCCTTGTCTGAAGCTACTTCATTGGTCGCAATTCAAATGAGTGTGAACCAATTTAGAGGGAAAATCCCAGAAGCAATTGGGAAATTGACAAAATTAAGCAGTCTTGATATGGACCAAAATATGTTGTCTGGTACAATACCAGAATCAATAGGCTCGTGTTTTGGTATTTCTGAAATAAACCTTGCCCACAATTATATTTCTGGTGAAATCCCTTCAAGTCTTGGATCATTGCATAATCTGAATTCCTTGAACTTATCGGCAAACCGCCTTTCCAGCGAAATTCCTGCTACTTTTTCGTCACTAAAACTCAGCCTTCTTGATCTGACAAACAACCAGTTGACTGGTCGAATCCCCGATTCACTGTCCATTCAGGCCTTTAATGAAAGCTTTGATGGAAATCCGGGTTTGTGCAGTCAGAACTTGGAAAATGTGCGGTCTTGTTCCTCAAGTCCTGGCACATCTAGCCAGCCCCGAATTTTCCTGTCCAGTTTCATTGCTTCAATACTTGTTGTGCTTATTGTGCTTGGTTTGCTCTTGCTGTTGAAGCTGAGGAAGAGCAAACTTGACCGTCCGCTAAAGAGTGATTCGTGGACTATGAAGCAGTACCATGTGCTAAGCTTTACAGAGAAGGAAATCTTAGATTCAGTGAAAGCTGAGAACTTGATTGGCAAAGGAGGGTCAGGGAATGTATACAAAGCTGTGCTAAGTGATGGGAGAGAATTTGCTGTAAAGCACATTTGGACCACTTCAGACTCCGGTGACAGAAAAAGTTACCGAAGCAGCGCTTCCATCTTGAAGAAGACTAAATCCGGGTCATCAGAGTACGGTGCAGAAGTGGCCACACTGAGCTCTCTGAGGCATGTGAATGTGGTGAAGCTCTACTGCAGCATATCAAGTGAGGACAGCAACCTGCTGGTTTACGAGTACTTTCCGAACGGGAGCTTATATGATCAGCTACACACAAGTAAAAAGATGGAGATGGGGTGGGAAGTAAGATATGAGATTGCGTTGGGGGCTGCAAGGGGTTTGGAGTATCTTCACCATGGAAGCAGTCATAGACCTGTGATACACAGGGATGTGAAGTCTAGTAATATTCTGCTGGATGGAGATTGGAAGCCAAGAATTGCTGATTTTGGACTTGCAAAGATTATGCAGGCTGGTGTAGATTGCACTCATGTCATTGCCGGGACACTTGGGTATATAGCTCCAGGTAATTCTTGTCATACAAACGATGTTTTACCTTAAACTAATCTAATCTGCAGGAAGGGAGATTCGAACTTGGGTGTAGCCACATCATCACAAATAGTTTATTTCCACGAGTTAGAATGTAACAATGTAATGGGGGATTTTAAATATGACACTGAAATCTGATAAAAATATGTCTGTTTTGGTTGTTCAGAGTATGCATATACCTGCAAGATCAATGAGAAGAGTGACGTTTATAGCTTCGGGGTGGTGTTGATGGAGTTGGTCACCGGGAAGAGGCCGGTTGAGGCTGAGTTCGGAGAGAACACGGATATAGTGAGCTGGGTCTGCAGCAAAATGCGGTGCGTTGATAGTGAGCTTGAATTGGTGGACAGGAGCATTTCTGACGATCTAAAACAAGATGCCATCAATGTTTTGAGCATAGCAGTCCGCTGCACTGCCAGGGTGCCGGTTCTAAGACCCTCCATGAGAATGGTGGTTCAAATGCTGGAAGAGGCTGAGCCTTACAAACTCAACTGCATAAGCATTGCCAAAGAAGCTGACAGATAGCCACAAGGTGGAACACAAGTACCGCAGTTGATATACAAAAGTTACTTCTAGTTGGGAGGTGACTGTAGCAGTCTTCGGTACTTTGTGTCTGTTTTTCTTAGAGGTGTGGGAAACATCCGGAGCACTGAAATAATATCCGGAGCGGATCCCATCCCACTAAGTACCCCTCGAAGAAACGCTAAAGAAGGGGATTATATATATATATAGCTTAGAATACACAATGAATGGTTAGTTTGTAAACTGCAATAGGCTTTCCCTTGGCTAAGAGAGAAGCTACTATCTGAAAAAGCTTGGAAGGAGCTGTGTAGTATTTAGATCTCTGTTTGCAAGAGACATGCGATGGATTAGATTTTTTTTTTATCTCCTCTTTGCTGCAGATTCAGAGGGGGTACTTTGTAACATATAGAATTGCGATGAGTACAACCATTTTCTCAGTTTGTTTGTCACATCTCACATATAGGATATGTTTGGATCCTCGTTAGGCCGAGCGCTAAAACCGAACCATTTGATTCCAACATACCGTTTTTGAATGCTTTGGTTTGATTCGGTTGCTTTAGAAAATCATCTCATCCAAATCAAATCAAACAAATTGCATCATGTTAGTTTAAGGACGAAATTGTACCAAACCAACATATGCTTAACCCTAAGTATTGGTGCAATGCAACAACGTGGCAAAGAAAACATATAATATAGAATCTAAAGCAAAATATGATCAAGTGAAACAACAATGATAATATAAAATTATGGACTGTTTTAATTTTGGATTCCTCTCCATTCTAATTTTATTTCCCTCCTCTTTTAACCTAAGATTCCATTTTGTTTTTATTTCAATTCCCTTCCATTTTAATCCCACATAACCAAACGCGGCATAAGAATTACAAAGAAAATGATCCGTTTGGGCACTTCCTTCTCCTTGGGAAAGGTGTCAACTGCCAATTCCTCTTCTTGCGCATCCCTCCACCTCACTCCCACCGCCATCTCCACTCCCTCACCTTCCTCCCTCTCCTTCTCCTCCAACAACCTCACTGGTATCTCTATATCTGTGTCTCACTCCTCACTCTCTTTAACTCCAACATTGACAGGAAACTGGCGGCGTGTTTGTGAATGCAGGGAAGAGGAATTACCGAAAACAGTTTTGCGCGGGCAAAGTCTGGGCTTTGAGAGCGAGCCGAAACAAGCAAGCGATTCGATGGAATCGGAGAAGGAATTTCCCGAGTCGAAACGGAACCTGTACCCGGATATCGAGCCGGACAGTTCCGGGTGTCTGAAGGTTTCGGACATCTACACAATGGGAGCTGTCCGGAAATCCCGACGGCCATGTGAGTTGCAATTCTTCGTCCTAATAAACGACTTAGTTTTTGCATTTGTTGTTCGAGTTTAGAGTTTTTATTAGATACAATTTGATTTGTTCACTATATAGTGTGATTTGTTGAGGAAAAGCTAGAGTATACAACTCTAACACAAGTGTTGGAGAGACGACACAAGTAAACATATTACTTGTATTACACACACAAAATATTACAACATACAAACTTGCTATTGTATTTGAACTAGAAAAAATATAGTTCCATTTGGAGCTGGACAAAGTCTTCTAGAAGCTTCTGCCTTCCAAGCTTGCTACTGTATTTGCCAGAGTTTTCTAGAATCCAAACACTAATTGGGCTGGTGTTGATCTTCAACACTTCCTCTCAACACTAGCTCATTCTTTCCTTCATGTCGAGTTGATGTCAGAGCTTTTTCTTGCACACCCATTTGCGTAATATGGGTTTGACATCTTGTCGCTTTGGCACTAGATTCCAAGCTTGATTTAGCTCCACTGCAATGACCTTTTCTCCCAACTTTGAGCCACTCAGGTTCAACTGCTTCTTCTTCTATGGTAACGTTGGCGTATTTAGGATTTGGCTTCCGGATTCTTGTTGACCTCCTTAGTTGTGATTATGGAGTTAATACTTCCACTTCACTAGGTCTATCTTCTTGAGTTTGTTGATATATGCCAGATTGCCAAGGGTTTTGAGGTACTGCTTGCTCAATATCATCACCATCAAGCAAATCTTCAGACTCATCTGGTCTCGATTGGATTCGAATAGTTTGCTCCCCCATCTTCTGCTACAGCTTATTTTCAAACTCTATCGGAGTTTGGCAATGACTCGTTTTTTGAGCACCACCAAGAAGATGCTTCTACGTCCCATTCTTCCTCCAAGGCTAGAGACGTTACAGCGTCCCAATCATCTTCACTTTTCTTCTCTGAGTTGGCGACGTTACTCTTTGCGGGCTTTTTGAACTAGCAATTCTTCGCCATGTGGCCTTTCTTTCCACAATTGTAACATTTTTCCTCAAATCTTTTATTATTTTGGGACTGACCACGGTTGCCGTGATACTTCGGAGCTCCCCCTAGCCGAGAACTCCCTCCTCCTTGATGACCTTTTGCCTTGTCACCATTTCTTTTAGACCCACCACGCTGCCTTTACTTTTATTGGTGTAGAGTGCTTCCTCCTCACCTCTTAAAGAGACCCTTCCCATTTGCTTTGCCAAAACTTCTTGATCAGCAAACAAATTCTCAAATTCAAAAAGTGATGGTTGGGTCGGCCATCCTTGTTCAGCGGCAACGAAGCCTTGGTATTCAGGTCTCAACCTATGGATAATTATTCCTTTTATCCTGAATTCTACAATGGTAGCACTAGGATCTAACTCAGAAATTTCACGGCAAATAGACTTTACCTTGTGGAAATATTCGGCAATCGTCATGTCTCGTTAGGCCACTGATAACAACTCATTCTCGAGAAGCTGCAGTCTTGTATTGTTCTTCTTTGAAAATAGTGTGGCGAAGGTGTCCCATGCTTCTTTCGGTGTTTTGGCTTTCCTTGTGTGCTCTAACATGTCCTCTTCAACTATGGTTTTTAAGGCGAATATGGCCTTACCTGCCTTAATCTTCCATTTCCGCAAAGTGCCGTTAGTATCTTCTTCCGGCTATGTAACTTCATTACCGCCGACGACATCCCAAAGATCTTGACCTTGTAGGTAAGACTCCATACACGTCGTCCATGTGTTGTAATTTTTGTTGTTCAACTTCTTGATTGCTCCAACAACTTGAAGATCAGACATCGTGTGAGCAGAACTTAGATAAGCCAAACAAGATTAGTCAACAATCTTGCAAAGTACTAAACTTCTCATGATTCTTGGAAGCTTCACGAGAGACGGTCCCTTATTGTACCGCTCTGATACCAATTGTTGAGAAAAAATTAGAGTACAGAACTCTAACACAAGTGTTGGAAAGACAACACAAGTAAACAAATTACTTGTATTACACACACAAAATATTACAACACACAAACTCTCAAGGACACTCTTTAGAAGCTATGACACTCACTCTTTCTAGAGACACACTCTAGACCACTCATACTCCTCACAAGACTACTCTTACTTCTCACTCTCACTTAGCTCTCTCTTGATTCTTACTACTTCTCTTTTTTCTTGATTACTTAGCTCTCTCTTACTTCATTTCTCGAGTTTAGCACCTCACATATTTATAGTGTGAGGTTTGCCGACTTACACACTGCCACCGCCCTAGGCTTTGCATAATAGCCACACAATATTGCAAGCTGCTAGAACTTTCTAGCTTAATATGCATGCACACCGACTTAACATGCAGATTTGAACTAGAAAAATCTAGTTCCATTTGCAGCTGGACAAAGTCTTCTAGAAGCTTCTGTCTTCCAAGCTTGCTACTGTATTTGCTAGAGTTTTCTAGAATCCAAACACCAATTGGGCTGATGTTGATCTTCAACATGATTCTTCAGTTATTAGAGATTCCAAATTTTTAGAAAACGGGGATTATTAAATCCTCTCAAAGTTGTAGGACTTGGAAATGAGCTCTGCTGGAGAAGGCTGCTTTCATTGAGATATGATTTCATTTAAGTAATGATAAGTTACAACTGAGTATTTATAGGAAAGCTAAAAGTAACAAACTAACAGAAAGGTAAATTATAAAGATAATTTTCCTAGCTAACATTTGACAGCTGTCAATTACTATTTACTTCAGTAACTTTGTCTTCAGCTTTGTGATGAAATTACCATATTAACAGTGTTGGGTTGGGATTTTTGATACTGGGTTTTGGTTTAATATGTTTTGAATCTTGTCCTGCGGCCTGTAATTTTTCTTCATGGGGGTCCAGGAGGAGGAACTTCACCAAGTAATCGGAGATTCTTTGATCCTGAGTTTTACCGGATCATTTTGTTTGATCAGGTTGCTACTTCAACCTTTATGATAAGTTATTAGACGCATTTTAGTTCGTCCTACATTTGATATCTGAAATGATTTCGGTATTGCTAGAGAGGTGCGGGGAAATGTACCCCACATGCTTGCTTGGTTGAAAACTCGACATGGGATCTCATTAGTGACATTGAAAAGCTCAGGGAGCACTTGAAAATTCCAGAATGGCAGGTCAAGAGGTCGTTTCTAGCCCTCGGTAAAGAAAAACATGCTTCTTTCATGTTTTCGATTCTAAATACAAGAACTTTTCTTACTTTGTCATCTAGGTTTTTGGTGGGTCATGGGGGAGTACACTTGCCCTTGCATATAGCCAATCACACACTGACAAGGTGCATAGTTTTTGTTGATTTACCATCAGTTCTTTTGCTTGGATTCCGAACCTATTCATACAGGTCATCTACACTTTGAAATTCTCTACCATATGATGGAGTTTTCTATTTTTTTGTCGTGCTTTTATAGGTTACTGGAATTGTTCTTAGAGGAATTTTTCTTTTAAGAAAGAAGGAGATTGATTGGTTTGATGAGGGTGGTGCTGCTGCCATATACCCCGACGGTATGCTACAATTCTTTTACGTTGGCATAAATCATATTATCCACCTTACGGATAGTTCTTGTAAATTTATAAGGATAGGTGTTTTGAAGTACATGTCCATAGTTTTTCAAAACCCTTTTGCATTGAATGACTACTGCACTGTTCTTACAATTTTATCAAACATATAAAAAGTGCAATTCTGGAATTTCCATTATTAACAAAGAATTTGTTCGAGGCTTGCATTTCTGATGTAGTGTTGTTAGAAGTTGATAGAACTTGTAAATGATTCCTAGTTTTAAAAATCATCAACAATGAAGTATTCTTTTTTTTTCTTTTTTCCTGGTAACTATGCTTGATAACCTCATGCATACTATATTATGAGCTTGGTTTTGGCGTGTCTATTAGTTTTATAGCGGCAGATTGCTTCTGATATTTCAAAATCCAGCGTGGTAGCCATTTCGAGATCTTATCCCAGAAAATGGAAGGGACTGTTTTGTTGGTGCGTACAAAAAGAGATTAAACTCCGATTATCAGGAATACAAGTAAGACTTGCCTGGCTTTAGGCATGTGCTGTCTTTCTTAACTTCTTAAGTAACTTTTTAAGGTCATCTTATTGAATGGTATGGTTCATACCTCAGGTCTTACGTATCTATTGTCAATGCCATTAAATGGGAACATTCATGTGAGTCTAATCTTAATAGCCTCTTGTGGACTTATTGGACTAGTCCTCCCGTGTGTTATTTTTCTAATCTTGTCATGTGAGTTTGGATTTGTTCTATCGGTGCTCCCCTTAACTCTTTCCACGTATCTTAGTATGCAGCTGCTAGAGCATGGACCATGTGGGAAATGATGACTGCCCATCTTCTTCCAAATAATGAGAACATCAAGAAAGGGGAGGACGATAAGTTTTCATTGGTAGGTTGAATTACTGATGAGTACAAAAAATCTTGCATGATTTATTCATTGATGACTGAAATTCCCTTTTGATTGACAATGGTATTTTGTTTGTTGTATTCGGGCATTCGCAAGGATCGAAAATCATTACTTTGTGAACAGAGGATTTTTCCCTTCGGATGGGTTACTTTTAGATAACATTGATAAGATAAGGCATATAAAAACTACGATTGCACAGGTAGGCAATTTTTCCCCTCAAAACATCATGGACATGCTCTTTTGATTGGAATAGAAAACAGTTAATCTCTTTGGATTTACGCTTGATATTAGGAGGCCTAATGATGTATCATCTGTTGTTCGCATGTCAGATTTTTTGTTTCGATAGCAGTTAGAAGTTCATAAGTAACATATTTAAGACATAGTGTCAAATTTTAAATGGAAAGTGGAGTAAATAGACCAATTGCTTGCTGTCCGTTTTTATGCATTTAGTTTGGGTATGTTTTGTGTGCATCATGCCTCAAGAGAAACTTGTCTCTATGTTTTGTTTTTCTTTCTACTTTCCTTGTTGTGGCCATCTTGTCCACTCTGTTGGTAATTTTACAGTTCTGTTCTAGAGAAACACTTAGTTATAGAGTACTAGAAGTAGCAACTGAGATTTGATATTGCATGAAATATTGATCTTTACTTTATAATTTTGCACATGTAAATTTTCCCATGCATTCATTTCGACAGTGAACACCAACAAAATCTTAATTAAAAAAAGAAGAAAAATACCCGTGAACAGTGGTGGATTCAGAAGTTTTGTTCAGGGTGGCGAAGTATAACACATAAGTTATTTTAGACAGCAAAGCTTTTTTTGAACTTTGAAATTTGAGATTTAGGTTATATAATACATACATGGTGTGGTGTTCTTGACCAAGTTGTCTTCTTGGTGGGTGGACCATAGCGATGGTGGCGCTGAACGGATGGAGGAAGGAAGTTGAGATGGAAAAATTTGATTGATGAAGTGGTTGAATTTGGGTGTACATAACATTCTTTAGGGTTTCTTGCAAATTATGACTCTAAATACATGTAACATGCTTCAAGTTTTCATGTCAAAATAATCAAATATATGTAAAGAGCACATTTATACTTTGGAGAGAGTTTTGCTGTGCTAAACAATTTAGACATTCCTTTAAAAAATAAAGAACTGAAGCTTTCTTCTTCGGTCCTTGGCTGAAGCAGCCTCTGCTGCCAAGCCCTTCCCCAGCTGCTGGGTGGGCAAGACCGGCCAGTAGGGAGAAATTTCGATGCTGCCCACCCTTCCATACTATGGATCCGCCACTGCCCATGACCATATGGTTTGTCATTAGAGAGTTATAACCTTAGATAACCAGAAAGCTTTCATTTTTCTTTTACTCAACTCTTTGCAAACAATAAAGGGATCCTCGAATTGAAACGGTTTATCCTTTCTTTTCTACACTAGTACGATAAATGTGTTTAACAGTAGTTCCACATCTAGTAAAGTCATTCCTTCAAACATGTGCTTATGTGTGCCTTGAAGTTTCATTGTGAATCTGATATATTTAGAGTTGAAAGAACTAAACAACTGACTTTACAGGGAAGATATGATATGTGTTGCCCCATGATGTCAGCTTGGGATCTTCAGAAAGCATGGCCAGAAGCTGATTTCAAGGTAAGTAGGCCATTCATTGCTGTGAAATGGTTACGGCTTTATATACCAAACATATTGATTTTTGTTCATCACTTGGCTATACTATTCCATCCCTCTGGTATAAAACTTATATCTACACGAGAAGAGAACATACGATAGTTTTGAGTCAATACATTGTATAGGTCACATCGTTTACCAATAAAACCACTGTAATGTATATGAACTGTGTAAGATGCCTAGCATCCTGCATCATGTGTACCGTTAATTGCACTTACCTTAATTGCAGTAGTCTTTCCATCTTTCTGCTATATATTATCACTGAATTATTTTGCTCTTAACAGGTTATTCCAGATGCAGGACATTCTGCTAATGAACCAGGAAAAGCTGCAGAACTTGTGGCTGCAACTGAGAAGCTAAAACACATAAAGAAAGGACAATAGGAAGACATACAAAAATTCGTACCAGAGAATAAGCAACGGTCTTCCCGTTTGGGTGCAGACTCCAGTTAGAGACCGTGCATGCATGTTCTCAAGGAGTTCATACATCCACAAAGAAGCAGTTTGCAAACAAGTCGGTTCCAGTTCAACGCACATAATTGCGTGGAAGTATTGGACTGTTCTATCAAACTGTGTAGCGTTCCCCCAGGATTCGGGTACCCAAAACCCAGAAACCCTTAGTTCCCTAGGCGGGGAATTGGAAAGGATTTCAATTCTCTCTCTAAATATTGCATGTTTCTTTTAAATGAATAAATACAATTCAATCCTCTCATTTTTCATTGACGACAAGTACATTGCCTCTGCCCTTCAAATGAATACAATTCAATCCTCTCATGAACAAACAATTCCCAAAACCCTAACACAACCAGAATACATTCAAGCAAAGCAAGCAAATACAATTCAATGATGTTATTGAACAAACAACAATTCATCACACAACAACCCAAGGCTTAATTTTGTTGAGCATCCAATGAGTCATTTTCCTTGTGCAGCCCAGCGCATGTCTTCGGTACGTGGATATAGTGAAAATGTGGCTCTTTCGGAATGGTTGTAGGCCTTCGTCCCCTTGACAATGATCTGGAAGGGGCAGAAGCAGAACCTTTGGTTGCCGGAGAAGCACTGCAGGGTGCTACTGCTTTCTTGGGTCTTATCTTTGTTGATGAAGTTTCCTTTATTACACTAAGCTGACAAGGTGTCTTGGAGGAAACCATTGCTCTCTTCCTACTTGAATCTACCCTGCATAAGAAAATGCCAGTATGATTATGTTTTGATGAATATACATTGTTTGTCATTAAAGGAGGAAACGAAGTTAGTACTGACCCTCTCCGTCTCACGGACTTCTGCTGCACCATTGGTGATTTCGCCCTTTCTTTATCTGATTTTTGTGCCCTTTCAGGGCTCGAATTTCCATAAGTAGAAACTTTACGTCTTAGCGGAGTCACCACAGATGCTTTTCGTTCAGAGTCTGCTTTTGTGGTCTTCAAACAAGTAACTCCTTTCATTCCCTGCATAATACCAGAAGAGCTTGGTCAGATCTCTATGCAAGGAACCTTCAAGAATATGCCATTTCCATCTTCCCTCACTTACATTTTCTTCAAGTCGTGTCCTTCTGTCTAATCTCTTTTCACAGCTTCCCTGGGTATCATTTTCATGTTCACTTTGTCCTAGGCAATCTTTAGTTATCTGATCAGGAACGAATAATGCATAAGCCAGGAGCTATACTCATGACAAGATAGAAGTGATTGAAAGTTCAACTACGGACTTACCTGTATCACTTTCTGATGTTTGCTTGTTGACTTTGCCCTTGGAATCCTGACTAATGTGATCTCCTTCAGCGGTGCATGAACTGTTTTCTCCAAAGTCGCATCCTTAAGCATCCCTCTTTCCTAAAAAGAACCCAAGACATATCAGATAAAGCATCAACGCTATAACTGCTAATCAAAGAAACTGGTCACAACAGGTTTCACATACATCGGTTCTAAACCTAAAAGGCTTCGGATTTGTAGGCTTTGGTTTCCTATACTTCACCCCTTTAGCATTGCTGGCAACAGATGTGGAGTTTTCTTTCTGAATCTTATCTGCTTGATTGACCTGCATCATTGTTCAAGTGTTAGCAGGAATTAAAAGCCATGAGGGAGAATTGAATGAACATAAACACTTAGAAGATATGATATTCTCATTTCTCGTATATCTTAAAGGGGTTAATAGAAGCAACCTCTTGTGAGTTTTTTGAAGCATCATGCTTGCCCAGATTTATCCTCTTGGAATGATCATTGATATTCAGTTCTCTGCATCAATTGACAAAATTTCATTACAATGGAGTTCTAAGAAAAAGAACATTTATAGAAAAATGAAAAGTAAACCACACCTGTTATAACCAGAAGCGGTATTATTTTCTTTATCATCACTCTCCAAGACCTCATTGTCATTCGCTTTGCTGTCAGAGGCCAAAGCATTTTCTTTATCATCATCGTCGTCCACATGTTCAAGGGTGTTCCTCTTCTCTGATCTTAACTTCGTTTTCTCTTGATGACCGTTTCCATCATTGGCGCTTTCCTTATTGTAATTCTCTTCCGAATCCCTCTCTTCAGAACTTGACAATGAGGTAGTATCGCCTTTCGATGTCTCGGATAGGATTTCAACTTGATTCTTACCATTCAGTCTACCACTCTTACAAGTGCCTGATATGGAGAACCCTTCCAGTGTACCTTTCCTTGATTTTTCATCAATTTCCATGTCACTGGAATCATTGTCATCAACCTCTTCACGAGGCACAGGATCACAACACTGTTTCAAGTCTTTTTCCATGTTTTTTCTTTTCATGGATTTAACTTCCTGGCCCTTGCAATTATTAGAATGCAAAGAATTGAAAACCCGGCTTTTGACCTCTCGCCCTCTAAATTGTTTTCTTGAAGTATCTAAAGCCAATGGCTTGTTACACTCCAAAACATGTTTCTTCCCGCTAGTGATCTCAAGTTTCTTCATGGCTGAACAAATTTTTCCCATAGGAGTACCCCACTCCGTTGAAGCCTTGGTTCTCACAGGCTTCTTCGGAGAGTGAAAGACCAGAGCTTTGGCTACCACCCTATTCTTTGGCACCACAACATTCTTTGGTTTGGGGTTCCTAACACTTCGAAATGTATCTGGATTTGAGACCTGCTTCCGATTCCTTGGAGTAGTGAGAGCCTTGGACACAGCAGACGGTTGTTTTGCCTTAACATTTGGTGTTGCACAGATCTTATGAAGAGGTTTTCTGGATTTATCTTCGGCATTGACCGTCTTACGAGAGAAGGAAGAAATCAGGGCCAGCCTTGCTACTCTAGGCTTGGAAGATTTTGCGGGAGCTGTCAGTGGGCATTTCAAACTAGTACATAGCAAACAAAAGGAGAATCGTATTGTTAGAAGCCCAATCACAGAAGTAGGAAAAGGAATTGGAATTTACGCCATTTAGAGCTTTGCTTTTGCATGTATACCTTGGTGCTTTTCTGGCCAGTGCTTTTCTAAGTTTCACATTAGGACTTCTTGCTGCCATAACCTGCAAACTCCAAATACTTTCACATCTCAATAAAGTGAACTAATGTGATCCCACTTCAAACGAAAACCGGAACTTATAAACTCACCCGAAGAACGAAGTTCTTGTAAATCGCTTCTGAATCTAGTTCTTCTTCATGCTTCTGATCACATCCTACAAAACAAACCCCAACATACTCAAAATTCATTACCACAACAAAAAAGGGGTTTTTCATTTTTTTTTTTTTTAATACCAAAGCCAACTGGATCAACCACTCAAAGTATTAAACTCAAATTAATGATCTTTCAGTTGATTTTGTTCATTTTCTAAAAACCCATCAACTAATTTAATACTTTATCCCCTCAATAGTGCTCCACTCAAATTAATCATCTTTGAGTTGATTTTGTTCATTTCCTCAAAGCCCATCACCTAATTAAGTAATTTACCCCCTCAATTTTCCCAGCAACCAAACAGAGAGCTCCAAGTCAAACAAACCAGAGCAGAAATCAAATTCAAAACAGATCAGAAGCTAAAATCCACACTTAACCAGTCAATCAATAGCACGAAGTCCAGTCAATCAATAACACGAAGTTCATCTTCAAGCTTAAAAATCTAAAAAAATCTTCAAAATTTGAAAGCAAAATAGCTTTTTCTGATTACTGAAAATAAAGGGAAGAAATTAAACTTATGGGTTACTGGGTTAGAGTGAAACGAACCGACTCGCATGCAGAACCAGTAACGGTCGTCGGGCCGGTATGGGTCGGGTTCGGTGAAATCAACGAACTTGGGCGCCTCAATCTTCTCGTAAAACTCGTCCCCACCTTCGTGGACGCCGTCGATCTGCACGCTCTGAGTTTCTTCTTCCATTTCCGCGAAGCAAGGGAGAGAGCCAGAGAGGAGCGTACGGTTGCGTGAGCGGCAGCGAAAGTGAGATTGGTCAGTGAAGAGTGAAAGAGTCGTTAAGTTTTAAATTTGGCTGTCTCTCTGAAGTAGCCGTTGGGGAAAGATGCTGATTTTCGGACAAGGTCACTGAAACGGTCTCTCAGGGGTGGTGTCGTCATTTGGTCTTCCTGACGCCACCTATCGGATCTTTTAACGGGTTTGCCGGTTTTGACACAACTGTGTATGAGGCCCAAGCCCACTTCTTTATGGTTAGAGTATTGTATCTTTTTTTTAAAAGGTAACTGTACTCTTTAATTCCAACAATGATTTTGTAATGCAATTGCATCTACGCATAACCAAAAAGCATAACCTTACCTTGTATTATTGTGTAACTTTAGACTAAATTGCAATGGTTAAAGTATAACCTTAACATTATTAAACTTATCTTGAGAATACTAATATTTACAAGTTCGAACGATGAAATGTAATTTTATGACGTGCACTAATTAAGAGTTCATGTCAACTAATTATATGTTAAGAGTCTGTTTGGAAAAGACGGAATCTTGTATGTGTTTATGAGTAGTTGAGCTACTCCCATATTACCAATTAGGTTCATGGTGAAATCTCAACTTCTTTCATGATATCAAAGTAGGTTGTCACATGTGTAAAGCGAACTGCTACACATGCTTTATGTCAATTTGTGTGCACGTGTTAAGCTTGAAAATTGTCACACATGAGGGGGCCAACGTATTGAGAGTATGAATGAAGGTACCTTGCATATACTTATAAATAATTAAACTATTCACTATATTGACAATTAGTTTTATAGTTGGACTGAAGGATGGATGCATTAAGGGGCAAGGAGGGTCAGCTGACCCTCCGAACTCTTGTGAATTTCCATAGATAACTTGAGTGCTGCCCTTTTGAAGGTTGGAATTGCCCTTCATACATTTGACAAAATGGGCAATTTATCAGCCAAAACATAATCCAAAGTCTAAAATTTGGAAAAGATTTCCCTTGTGTTTCATTGAGATCGCCGTCAGTTACTGGGTTGCAGTCTTGCAGAGTATGAGGCCTTGTGCGATTCGAGGAGGACAACCTGAAACCCTATTTTTCTATTTTGTGAACGACGTCTTGTATTATTTTGATACGTGGCATAATCTATTGAGTCTAGAATCCTGTCAGCACAATGAGTGCAATTACTCTCTTTTTTATGTAGAAGGAATAATAATGAATAATAATATTCATCCTTTTTGTAATTATATTTCAACAAATAATATACACTACGTTTTTTTAGTTGCTTGACTTTATGTTTTATAGTTCCATTTCAATTTGTGTTGATAAATTGATGAAAGTTTTTATCTAGATATTGAATGAGTTAAGTTTTGTGTATTTACTAATTACATTGGCTTTGGTTATACTTGTTGCTATTGCTTCAGCCTTTGATGAAGAAAACATTTTTCGCTATGAATATTTTGAAAGTCCATTGCGATATTGAATGGAAGATCTGTAGTTGAGTGATAGTATAGTGGTTTATATCGAGAACAATGTTTTTTCTTCTATTGATAATGAGGATAATTGTAACTTGTATTGTTATTTGTTGTATAAATTACAAATGATGGAAACATAGTTTAATTTTTAAGGTTATATGTCTAAGAAATATTTGTGAATTTTAATATGTGACCCTCCGAATATTTTTTCCTGGATCCGCCACTGGTTGGACTTCATCTTTCTTCAGTATCAACACAAGTACACAAATTGTGTGCCAAGTTCGAGTTGCATTACGGTATCTTGTTAAAAATTATCACCTTCTTCAGTGCGACAACTGTTTTGTGAGAATGAAGGAATTGTAAGTGAAGAGAGATGGTAGGTTGATGCACGTATAGCCACATTTGCACAATTTGGACCAAGCTGTGTAATTGGTTATTATTGTGGTATACAATGCATTGATTTAGGTGAAACCGAAGCTCCATAACGAGTGTTTTTACATCACGTTAAATCATAAATGAATCTCACACTCGTCACTTTAGCCCATATACAACTCAAAGATATAAGTTGATACGATTTTAAAACTCAAAGTAAAATATAATTACGAAAATTAAAATTAAGACCCTTTCTAAAAATCACTTCAAACTTGGAAGATGTAAAAATACAGTTTGTATATAAAGTCCTTTAAATGCTTGGTATATATGCGCGAAGCTTTGCCATGATTTGAATCTTAAGCGCATGTGGAATGCCAAACACATGTTATCTTGGTCGGAGAAATTTCGAAAGCAAATAATGAATACATGCACATTGATTACATGCATGGCCCACGAAATTACAAGGTAGAAAATAATAGAGGGGAACAGTGATCACGATCGAGTCAGATTTTTCAAAGAAAGGGGGCTATATAGATGAATGGGTTGAAAGAAAAAAATTTGGGGTCTCAAATGCGGGAGATGATGCACATCAACATTTCACCAGGCTTATCCCCTGATCATACAATGAGTGTTGTGTTGTACTTACTCATATAAAAATATGGAGGAAATTCGAATCTCGTGTAAATTTTCCACATGGTAGGATTCTGTTAGATTTTGTTAGTGCATCATTTGTCACATCATGTTGTACATCAATGTGATACATAAATATGCTATTTTTTTTTAACATTAGTCTCATATATGTAATGTGATTAACTTTCTAATGGAAAAGATAAATATTCTTATGTAATTTAGATGTTCTTATGTTTGCCCTTCATAATGATAAATGAGGTGAAGGTGTTGTTAATTTCTGTTAGTTTTGTTCTTCAATTTGTATGACTTTTGTGGAGGCATGCTAAGTACAATCCAGGCATATGACAATATTATTGAAGATTTGTGAAGGCTAAACCAAGTACTGTTGATTAATCAAATATTTATCGCATATAAATGACTCATAAATTCATTATCTTGATAAGTTTACACTAATTAATATCCAGAGTAATCATAATGATTTTCATATATAATGGATTTTACCTAAAAGGTTCACTGCCATCTTTTCTTAATAGTTTTTATTTTTTTATTTTTTATATTATATATATATATATATATATATATATATTTTTACAAGTGAAATTAACTCTAAATACTATGCTTAGGAATGGAAAATGTTCGAATTTGGGACTTATCGAGTTAAAGAAGAAGCCCCTATCTACTTGGACAATCAACCGCTTCCAATTTCTTATATCTTTAATTTATATGCATCAAAAAATGTAAATCATCCATATGCTATCATTCAAAAAATGCACGAGATTCATGTAAAATGTTGAAGACATATGTCTTGTTTTTGCAGTCTAACTAAAATTTATGTCTTATATTAAATTTTGTTATCGATTTTAACTAAAGAAAATGTAATTTCTGAATAGTGAATGACAAATATTTCTATAATTCTGCTAAACTTCGTAGTAGTGGGCAACATTAATTTTTTAAACCAAAAACAAAAGAAAATGTCATCGTGATTAACTTGACAAAGTATTACTCCACTTTGATGTTGACTAGACCCAGCTTCCCCGTTGCCCTCAAGTTTCAATCTCAATACGAATATAAAAGTCACGTAGACTTAATGTTTAATTGATCATTTCTTTGTTAACTTCTAACGAGAAAGACTATACACACACAAGTATGAAAGACTACTTATTTAATCAAGAGTTCTTTTGTTTTGTTTCCCATGGTTTTGAAAAAAAAAAAAAAAACCTTTTAAAATACAACGCTGGTTGTAAATTATTATGTGCACATCTGGTGACCTCGTAAGTATCATCCAGCAAAGCAGTAGTCTTTGACCAAACTTAATTGGTCTCAGTTGGAGAGCTGGCTAGCAAGCTCTAAGTCGTAGTCAACTCCGTGAATAAGTTTTTTTTTGTTTTTGGTTTTTCTTTTGTTTTAAATAAAATTCCGCATGTACTTTCTACTATCTTCGTTAGAAGAAATTCTTTGTGATCTTAAATCAACCACCCATTAATCCATTGTTACTAAAATATTAGAAACAATTAAATACATATATAGATTTCAATATCTCTTGTGTTCAATAGCATGAGAATCTCTTCGTTCAAATTGGCAAATTTAAACATAACCTATATATATTGGACATTTTAGTACTAATTCGCATATTTAAGCATAAACTATGTTTATATATGGAACTATTTTATGTTTATTCACAAATTTAAACATAAAATATATCATACTTTATTTGTGCATAAAAGATGAAAAAATTATTTGTTACATGTAAGCCACCGATAACATGACACTTTAAAATAGAAGAAAAATAACTTCTTCAAACTCAATATCATGGAAAAAAAACTCACTTACTTTGTAATACCGAAATAAAAAAACTAAATGACATGGAAATAGATAAGATGTGTTTTTTTTTTTCCTCAAGTATTATGATATATAGAAGTATTTTTCTATAAAACTTACAGTGTTCAGAGTGTTTGGATAATGCTTGTGTTCCCCCGTGGGGGACTTACTCGTCTTTCTGACTTACGATTAATGAACCTTTACTATTCGAACATTATAATAAAAAACGTTGACTTTTTTTTTGTAATCATGTAAACATCATGTTTGCAAAAAATCATTCAATTTGAAGATTAGTAATCCATACGTGTTCAACCAATCAATGCTTTTAGTAACAAGTTACATCCTTATTAAAAGGTCTCCAAATTGAATAAATTTGTATAGATATGATCTTTAGATGATGACAAAGAGAATAAACAGTTTCGATTATGATATTTAGATGGTAAAAATTTGTTAACCATAAATGAAGGGACAAGTAAGTCCCCCATGTGACGGACACAAGCATTGTCATTTTTGGCTTGCATTTCGCCACGTGAAGCCTATTTATAGGTATTTCAAAGCAACACCATTTTCTTTTTGTAAGGGTACTTCAAAGAAAAGTTCGAAATTAGTTAATTGTTGAAAGTTAATATAGTGTCGATTCTACATATACACTTATCTCTAAACCATGCATCTTCTTTCGTGCTAATCAAATTAGATGTGGGCCTTTTGCTGTTTAGGAAATTTATCGTATGCATAATGAGTTTGTAATTTTGAATTTGTAGTGTTTCTTTAGGTATGTGTGACATT